AAAAAAAAAAGAAATCTACATGATAAGCACATAGAACAATTGATAGGAAGATACTTGCTTAATAGATGATTTCTAGATTGATACATGATAGACAGACAGCAAGGTTGTGAGCCAGAGTCTCGTTTCCTGCATCTGTAATCTGAGGTTACTGCAACTTCCACCACTGGAACTCAGCAATCTCAGCATGAGACACAGAGGGAAAAAGATCTCTACTGTGAACACCTAAGAAGGCAACCCTGCCTCTTTTGAACAACTGAAACAGAAAAGAAACCAGAAACAACAAAGAACTGGCCATAAACCACTCTGACAGGGAGTTTTGATCATCGTGACGCAGCGGACAGCTCCCTGCAGTATTTGTCCCTGCTCTCATCCTCACAGAATTCCTGGTTTCCAATACTCTTCTCCTGGTCCTGGGCCCCTCTGCAGGCCTCTGCTCTTGGGCTCATACAACAGGAGCAGCAGGTTCGGTAGGGCTCAACTCTTGATCCTGTCTGCAGAGACAAGGCCTCGGAACTGTCAAGGGCCACCACATGATGGCAGCAAATTCCTTGCCCTGCTAGGATGGGTCAACCCCATTCTTACAAATCCTGTCAATCTTGTTTATTCTGTGCTGCTAGTTGTGACCCCAATCAAAAGTCTTCCCAAAAGGCCCCACCTCCATTGCCATGCCAGTATGCGCAGAAGACAATATAGGGAGCTCTTCCTAGTCTTGAGGATGGAAAAAAAAAAAAATCCCATCTCCTGCTTGGGATGCTATATAATTCTGTCTTAAAAAAAAAAAAAATAAGTAAATAGGACCTTCCCTGGTGGCACAGTGGGTTAAAGCACAGCACTGAAAAGTTAAAGCATGAGTTCGATCCTCAGCCCCGGAAGTGATCCATGTGGTGTGGCAGACCTCTCCTGACTGGCCTGCTGCTCTCCTCAGCAGTGTACTTCGTCAGTTAGCCTGTTCTGCTCCCCACTCTGTTTCTAGTGACTCCTTTCACTTTCCCTGCACCTCTGGCCTGTACCCCAGTTCTATATGCAGAAATAAATAAATCTTTATAAAAAAGTAAATAAATCAAACCACTCACTTTGTCCTTCAATTTTTTCTTTTTTTGCAAATATTCTGCTTTTTCTTTTTCTATTTGCTCCTCTGTGTCTTGAGCAGATTTTTTATGCATTTCTATTTCTTCTTTCTCCATATTTATTTTGGTGTAAGTCTCATTGATGAAGACTGTGGTTGTAGCTTTTTCTGCCATTGCATGATTGAGGGACAGGACCACCTTTTCATGCTGGGTCACCAGCTTATCTTGCTTTTCACTAGGAGAAAAGAATCACTCATGGCATCCTGAGAAGCATGGATCTTAGGAAAGGAATTTAAGGTTTGCTCAAGAAGGTAAGCCATCTCAGAGAGGGAAATTCAAAGGCTGCTTATTTTAGGATTGCATGTGACTGCATGGTGAAGACAAAGACAGCAAGAAACCTGGAAGGGCTAATTGCAAGTGCTTACACTGCAAAATGCTATGTAGTCCTGTGTCACCCATCCATCCCACTTACTAGGCAGTGACTCTGGGATCCTTTGATAAAGTATACAACAACTTAAAGCAGTTCTGAACAGGAACTGGAGACTGCCAGATGATGGTTTGATGTGTTACACTGCCATATCAATCACACAACCCTGAGAGATATGGTGAATTTGAAAACAGATGAATATGCCATCACCCTCTGGCTACTTTCTGATGCCATTGCTGCATAGGCAGGGCCTGGGAGCAAGCTAGCCTTCCGCAGACGGGTGCAAGTCAGTGGTGGAGGGAGCTAAGTCCATTTTCACTATTCAGAGGCCGCTTGAAACCTAATGTGAACCTTCATATCTTTGCCCAGATGCGGCTGAATCTGAGTGCAAGAGGAGACATTAACTTCGTATATCCATCGCTGGCCCTATCTATCAGAGAAAGACCTGAAGGTTGCAAGAAACATCTCTCCTGGGCTAACCATAAAAGATTTGATGGAGGGACAATTGGTGCCATTTCTTTATTTTCTGTTTTTAAAAACTTTTGCAATGTAAAGGACCATTCCTTTTCCTAGTCCCCGGAGCTAAAGTCTTTAATCCAAGGAGTTGTGGTGCAGGAAAATGCAAACAGATTGCTGGTACATTTATTTTTCCAGAGGGCAACTGATCCTCCTAGATGCAATGAAACAAAAGCCAAGTCAGAAGGGTCAGGAAAGGAGGCTCTATGGGCCCAGTAGAGGAAGCTTCCTAAGGATGAACCAGCATAGGCACCAAGTAACAAGTAAAAGAAAACAAGTCAAATCAAAAAGCCTAACAAAGCAACAAACACATAAACAAAATAAAAACAGATTCTTAAACCACAGGAACAAAATAGTGGTTACTAGAAGGGGAGGAGAAGAAGAGTGCTAAGCCAGGGCAAAGGGATCAGTTGTTTGATGGTGGACGGAAATGACTTTGGTGGCCAATAGTAATGTGGCTTATCCAGATGTTGATTTATAAGGCTGTTCACCAGAAACCTCTATAGTGTCATAAATCAATGTTACAAAACTTCTATTGCAAAATACAAGGCTTCTCTGAAAAACAAAACCTAACTAGGGATAGTGTGATGGGTTGAGAAGAAAATCTTCAGAAACCCAGAGTGGGGTGACAGGGAAACCTACCTCAGGGCCTTGTATATATACCCTGTTTTTGAGGGCTGTTCAGGGCACATGGGTGTCTTGATATATATCTTTTCTTCTAAAAGTGGATGCAGCAATGACATTAGCTTGGTGATGCTAGCTCATCGAACAACCTGGTTTTGATTTGTCTTTCCACAAAGATTTGTCGACAACACAGATTCTCAGGGCCACCAGCAGCGGCATCACCTGGGAACTTGTTAAAATGTGACTTCTTACCAGCAACTCCTTGATCTACTAAATCAAGAAATTCTGGCGCAGGAGAGTAGAGTCCCAGTAATTTGTGTTTTAACCAGCATTCCAGGTGATTGTAATGCACATTTAAGTTTGAGAATCACTGGGTTGCAGGGGTCTGATGGGGCTGACTGGCTGATAGGGGGAGTCCAGCCTAAGTATTAACTTCCACCTCAATGGTTTAAAAACTGCTTAGCACCATGTAGTCTGGTGACGGGGGTTGGCATGTGTCCAGCACAGGTCTGTGCTCTGAGTCCCCACCTGGGGCTGCAGTGTGCAGTATTTGGCAAACTATGTCATCAAGGGATTTCCTTTTCATGGAGCCTCTCCCAGAACAAGAGTCCTGAGGGCTTACTTTGGGGAAATGGTCCCTGGGGCCAATCTGATGCTTGGATATCATGTTACCAAGCAACCTTTGTGATTATTTTAGCTTTCCGGGAAGATTCTTTCATTATGCTGAGGGCTCTGACAAACTGACATTCTGATACATTAGTTTTCTAGCTTTGATCACAGTGCTAATTATTATTCAGGGTGCTTTCTATTTTTCCTGTTTCAGAATCCATCTCTTTCTTGACCTTCCTGAGAAGGTCAAGACTTGTGGTCTCTATTTTATAGATGGAGAAAATGAAGCCACTAAGGGTGAATCTCCAGTCTGATGAAAGGAAGTAAAAGAAAGAGACAAATAGGGTGTCATATCCAGCTCTAAATACAGTTATACATATAGGCTCATTTAATCACAAAGTCTAGAGCCTTCTTCTGGGAACCAGTCCTACTCTCAATATAAGACTGAATATCTTTAAATTACTAAACTAGATGTCATGCATCTGGTTTAATGATATATTTTCACTGTAATGCTCAGCAAGAGTCCTTGTTTTGGTAGGTGAGGTTTGTGAGCTGAGTTCTACTGAAAATGGAAATTACAGCCACGTGTGCATTACAGGTGGCATGAGAGGCGGGTGTGGCTTGCAAACTGTCTTGGCAAGTGGGAGGCTGGGGCCTCTGAAACTTCATCAGTCTTGTGGCTGTAGTAGCTGAAGATCTTCAGCTCCCCCTTCCCAGCTCCTCAAAGCTCTGTGCCTGTCAGCAGCCCGAGTCCTTTCCACAAATGACCTCTACCTCCAAACTTGCCCGGTGCCAGTCCAGACTAGATGGCAACCTTCTTAGGACAACTTCCCCATTCCAGCCCCAGACCCCAACTCCCTCAAGTACTGAATTAAAAAACAAAAACCAAAACAACCTACCCCAGTTCTTCATTTCTTTTTTCCATTTCAATTATTGTCCCCTTCAGACACTGTATTTCATTATTCTGGTTTGTGACTTTCGTTTGCAATTGCTTTTTCTCACAAAGATTTAATCTGCGAGCATCTCTGACACATTCTTAAAAGTAAATGAAAATGTTACTGAATTATTTGAGAACTAGCACAAGAATTAATACTTTTGAAATCATGAACAGCTTTCTCAGAAACATTCTTCCACCTGTGTTCCTGTGCCAGTCACCTCTTCCTCACCCCTTTAACCTCTGTTGATTTTACCCATTGGGTATTTCCCTGATTTCAGCAGCTGCTCTGGGACCAGGGTTCTGCAGGCTCTGACAGCTATAGGCTAGTGCAGCCAGACTCCTGCTCTCACTTCCTGTCTGGGTTACCCCTGTCACCTCCACCAGGGATTCCCTCAGACACCCATATCCCTGCATGTAGGAAAGGTAGGCCAATGTGGGCTTATTCATAGACAACACTCTTGGCAGTGGGGAAATGTGCTTACCCCAAATAAAAAAAATTAGCTCAAAATAGATCAAAGACCTTAATGGAAGAGTTAAAACTACTTAGGAAAAAAACATAGGGGAAAAAACTTCATGACATTGAATTTGGCAATGATTTCTTTGTTATAACATCCAAAACATAGACAACCAAAGCAAAAAATGAATAGGACATCAAAATTTAAAACTTTTGTGCATCAAAAGTCACAATCAATAGCCCAAAAGGCAATCCATGGTGTGGAATGAATATTTGCAAATTGTATGCAGTTGTACACCAGTTAACAACATTTTAGTCAACAACATCCAACATATATGACAGCCCCCATAGACTATGTCATATAGTTAAGGTGTGCAACAGGCAATACCGCCTAGGTTTGTGTAGTTACACACTATGATGTTCACATATATGACAAAGTCAACTAATGATGCTTTTTTCAGTATCTCCACTGTTAAGTGATGTGTGACTATACCTGATAAGGGGTTAGCAGCCATATTATCTAAAGATCACCTACAATTCAACAAAATAGACACTGGTTTCAGTGATGGGCAAAGGACATGAACAGATATGTCTTCAAAGCCATGCTAATGGCCAACAAACACAAGAAAAGGTGCTTAAATTGCTAATTATTAGGGAAATGCAAAACCACAAGAGAGGCCAGGCCATATGTATTGGGATGGCTATCATTAAAAATCAAATACTGGTGAGAATGTGGAAAGACTGAAATCATCCTGAACATCATCAATGAAAATGTAAACTGGTATACCTGTGGTGGAAGCAGTCTGGCAGCTTCTCAAAAGTTTAAAGTGAAAGGATCATATAAATAGATCCTGCATAATCTAGCAATTTTACTTCACTATAGGACATCCAATAGAGTTACACACCTTTGTTCATTACTGCATTCAAACAATATCCAAAAGGTGGAGACAAACCCAAGGGTCCATGAAAGAATAGATATATAAAACATCACTTACACTCTCTTACACACAATTGACTATTGTTCAGACTTTAAAAAGAAAAATTCGGACACATCCTGCAACAAAGATGAACCTTAAAGACATGCCAAGTGAAATAAGCCAGTCATGAGTTCAATCCCTGCCCCAGAGGTGACCCACCCACTGCTCCCCTCAGCAGTGTATTTCATTGGTCGGCCTGTTCGCTCCATTCTGTCTCTGGTGAATCCTCTCACTGCCCCTGCACTTCTGACCTGTACCCCAGTTCTGTATGCATAAATAAATAAATCTTAAAAAAACTTTATAAATATCAACTTGGAATGGGCGGATCCATTTTTCTTTAGTCCATTTAAACACTAAATTTTGTAAATTCAAGCTATATATATATATATATTATTTTTACTTAAAATTTAAGGAAAAATTATTATGGATCCCATCATGTTTGTATACTCTTTCTAGCTATAGTTTCCCACTATTAAATTCATCTTGATATTAAGTACTCAACTCTATTTTCTTATAAGATAAACTAAATTTCTACAGTTGGTAATCTCAAAATTACCTTCCAATTCTATGTTAATGTTAGTGGGAAGAGTTTCCAGTAGATAATATAGTCTACTGAGTTCCATGCTTTCAATTTCTAGAAGATCAATGGTGGTTTTTCTCATTTCTTCCTGAAAATTTAAATGACACATTTACCAAGTTAAGACACCAAAATAGTAAGATTGATTTTCTAAACAATGCTCTACAGTTGTCATAGGGGTCAAAATTTGATTTTCATTAAATATCTGCTTGTTTTAATTTGGAATAGAAAATGTGAAAAGAGGCTATTATTGATTTGCTAAGGTATTGTAAATTATCTTTTAATTTCTATTGATTTTTTCTGCAGTGCAGAAATTATCTTTCACTATGTAAATGTCTTTTTTATATCCATTTTCAGTCAATTGAAAAGTAGAACTAATGGCTAGCAAATTGAGAGAATTTTTTGTTAAATTTAGGATCAATTTTTTGTTTATTGATCTATTGAAAAAATATCTTGAACAGAGCTGATGCTAAAGTTTGATGAAGAAATAAGAAAGATTTAAAAAAAGCTTTATAGATAATACAATACCAATTTCTTAACAGCTACAGCAGTGTCCTTAAGAAAGGTCTTAGCTTCCTCATTGCATTTAAAATAGTCACTTTGTAGCGATTTTTCTAAAAAAAGAAATAAAAAAATTAAGGTCTCTTATTGTTCAAATTCTACTTAAACCTTGAAGAGCCAGCTCAGATATTAACTCAGAAATTACAACTTCTATATTTAAATTTCTATGGTATTTTATATTAATTTCTTTTATAGTTTACTTCCTACTTCATAATATTCTAATTTGTGTATATATTTCAGGTTTCTTGAAGACAAACTCCTCTTTCAATATTCCACCTTTGTATCTCATGGTTCAAGGGAGAAATCTGTACAGAAGAGCAATCAATAAATTCAGTAAATATTTATGAAAGAGCATACTATAACATGCCCATAAATCAGATTTAGGAATGTTTTCAATGAGTCTATCTCACTGACATGCCCTCAGATGTCTCCTTCCCTCTCACACAAGAGAGAGGCTTGTGAAATGTTGGCAAAGACATTGATGATAAGTTACAGGTGGGATGAGAAGAATAAAGAGAAAGAAAGGTAACAGGAAGAAAAAACAGAGGAAGCTTTATTTACCTCACCTTTGTCATCATTGCATTATAGGAACTTTGTCTCTGGATTCCACACTTGCACTCCCAGGTGTGAGATATTGGTGTGAGCAATGTTTTCCGTGGGTCATCTAAATTGATTCCTACAACCTTATGACGAATCCTGTTTCACAGGTGATGCTGAGGCCGTGTATATGTTCAAGGTCTCAGAGCCCATCAGTGATAGGGCCTGGATTCTAATGCAAGTGATGTGACTCGTGTCCATGCCCTTGTGAACATCATCATCCCTCAGAAGACAAGACAGAAATGTCTGCCCTCTATGTCATGGAACTTGATATCTCTTAATGACTAACCTCTCAAACCAAGAGAAAATCAGTTGCTGTGTTTGCAAACAGGGGTGGTTTCAGGAGGCACAGGCATGGCCTGTTAACTCCTTCCCATTCTTCAGTGAAATGAATGAACACAGATGTTCCCACTTGCAAAGGGACTGGAGAGCTCATACTTTAGAATGCACACTTAGAGCAAGAAAGCTTGATGAAGTTTTTCCTATTAAAGACTGAGGGCCCAGGAATTATTAGCAGGAAATAAAAATTGTTTCTAAGTACAAGGGTTGAATGAACATGCTCATAATACAAGGAGATTTGAGACTCCAAGTGTGACCTTGGGCACCGGTGAAGTCTCATCAGTGGGTACCCACCTTTATAATACTTGTCCAAGCCAATCTCACAAGAATTAGGAAATTAAATTAGCTCATTGAAGAAGAACTATTCCAAACAGTAATGTTACAGTAGAGATCACACAATTATGTTGAAGCTATGAGATGTTTAGTGAAGTAAGGGGAAATTTTGCAGAGGTGGGCAAGGAATGCCCTTTATTAGACTATATCTTACCTTCAACTTAAGCATTTAGCTTCTTTTTATACTGAGTAAGTAATTTTAAGACCACATCCAAAGTCTTTATCTGTCTAGCATTACTAAAAGGCAAGTAAACTTTTTAACCCTCTTTCTTCCTTTTTTTTTTTTAATTTGCCAGTTAAATTCTTTATGACAACATATTGAAGGAAATTAACTTGCAAAGAAAAGACAGGAAAGAACAAGCTGCCGTCAAGTGCATAGTCTTCAAGCATGGTGGGCAATCCCAGTGTCCGAGGGTCCAGTATTTGTCATCAGACACTAGCTGACTAGACCTGGGTCCCTCCCTTGAACTGGCGGGGAGCTGAACAGCAAGGCCCTCCCAGTCCTCCCAGAATCCCAGCCTCCTAGGAGTGGAGAAGGCCCTGCCCTAGTCAAGGGTGCCTGGGGTCCCCACTGAGGGTTCCTGAGGAGTACCAGCTCCCAGGGGAGGTCCCTTGTGACTCCCGGTTCTCACCCACAACAAGGAGCTGCTCCAGTGCATAAGCCGCGACCGAGGAGCCCAGGGTGGAAGGGATAGTGCATAACTCCAGGGAGGGGCCGGTGGAGACAATGGCCGACTGCCGCATCTTCTCTCCGCCGAACCCCGACTCTGGCGACCGGGAACTCAGAGCCATCTTTGGGCTCCTGCGAAGCGCCTACTAGGCCAAAGCCTGTTGCCACGGGCAACGAGGACGCAGAGGACCCTGGGAGCCAGCGCCAGACCAGAGCCTATGGTAGCTAGCCACCTTCCAGGTTCCCTTAACTTTGTCCACAAGAATGGAGCGACCCAGGGAGAATGAGACCCTCTTGCATCGTCACGTTTCCTTGCCCATTTCTTTAGTCCGGGCTTTGTGCCTTTCTCAGGGAAGCCTCGTTTTCCCTTGAAAGAGTCGCTCCAGGTGCAGCAGGAGGGGCTTGAGTGAGGTAGTTGGCTGCATTTTCATGACAACTTTGCGAAACAGGCTATTTATTAATCTCCAGTTTTAAAGGCAAGAAAGATGAGGCACAGATGATTAAAAGAACAGCCTGGAGTCACAAGAGGAAAATTTGGGGTTTAAAATGGGGTCTGCATACATCTTTCCACAATGCCGCAAACCCAAACAGCACTGACAGTCTATGTCTCTGGGAGTGGGAGTCTCTGATGCCACAATGCCATCTCTGTTCTCCGTTAAATCTTTCCCTGAATCTATTCCATCACTGAACACATATTGCTTTCAATCATTAATTTCCCTCTGTCTTTCCATCAAACTGTTAATTCTCTGAATGCAGGAATATTATTTGTTTTTCTCTGCATCTCCAAAACCCAGTTCAGCTTCAGTCTCAGATTGACTGTAACATTCATTCCCCTCTTCTCTGGCTGGTTAGAGAGCTGCACAGATTATTTAAACTTCCCTTTCTTAACTTTCAGTCACAGCTGACAAAATCAGAATGATAGCAAGCATGATGCTACCTCTCATTTGTTGAAGGCTTGCAGGGTTCCAGGCACTCATCCCAATGCTTCCCCTCCAGTAACCCACGTAACACTCATTAACAACTCTCTGAGGCAAGTGTTTTTGTAAATGAGGGTACTGTGAGCCTGTGCCAGAGTCACTGTGCTTTCAGGCCCTGAAACTTCGTATCAATAGCAGAACTCATTCTAGAATCAGACTCTTCAGCGCTCTGAGTCCCCTCTTATGCCAGAATTAATCTAGTCTTGGTATTCCGACTGCCCCTGGCCGCCTGTGCTCACCTCTTCAGGCAGGGGCAAGGATCCTGGAACCAACATTCCCTGAACACGCTTTCCAGTTGGTCTCCAGCTATGTCCACTTGTGAAAGACTGCTGGCCAGGAAATCACTGTCTACGTCTCTGGGAGTGGTGGTCTCTGACTGCCACTCTGATGGCAGTCACCCTGCTAGCTCCAGCAGGAAGGGGTTCCAACAGCTTCCAGCTGTTCAGTGTAATCCTGGCACGCAGGCATGGCTGTATGGGTCGGCATCGGACTAGGTGGTGTTATTTTGGGGGGTGGGGGGGGAAGAGATCAGAGAAAGACCAAAGGACGGAAACAGAAGAGTAAGGGGGGAAAGAAGGGGTAGGCATTTGGAGGTGTCAGTCAAGAACACAC